GCTTAATGCGTCCTCTTGATTAAACCTCCTTTCTCCTTATTTACAAAATCATGTATCCTTTTTTAGAATCTTGAAATTACATGTATCAATTTTTGGAGACTAGGTTACATGCATGAAGACATGTGTTCCCAGGTCTATAATTGACATGTGTTTACTAGTCTGGATCGACACTTTTTTGGTCAGATTGACACTTTCTTGACAGATTGATATTTCTATGCCAGATTGACATTTATGTTTTTGCATGGCCTTAGCTTATGTATTGTTCTTCTAATAATTGTGGTGAAATAACACACTCTGCGTATAAAATATGGGTATATGGGGAAGAGAAGGCATCTTTTTTTCCCATTTCATAATATAAAACTTTTTTTTTCTATTTATTTAAATCACATATCTTTTATCTCAAGTATCACAAAAGAACAGAAATTCTATGGTGCCCGTTAGGATACCATAAGTCATGCCACAATATGATGTGGTATATGAGGTGACTTTTTTGTTTTTAATTATCAATTACATGACATATGTGATGGGGTATTTTTTAAGATTTAATCAATTAAGAAACCTTTCATAATAGGATTGTTTCCAAAATCATATATATAATGCTTCCATAACAACAGAACTTCCATACGAATAAAATCTAGAGATTCAAACTTAAAATCCTTTCAATACTGCTAGAGTCGGTCCCCTGCTCCTTTATGATGAAAGTAATAATTCATGCTGTTGGTGTTGTGATGATCTCGAAACTTAAAAAGTATACCTCTTGGAGCATGGATATATATTGGTCTTAATAGTTTATTACCCTGTTAGCATAATGAGTATATATTTGATATGTTATTCTCCATTTTGTTGTTGCAGTACTTGTGGAATTTCATGGCTGACACTGTAAATTATTTTGGTGGGAGAGGTCGTAGTTAGATTTGGGGAAATTAATTTTGGAAGCTATCAAGTATCCTATTATCAAGGGTTTCTTAATTGGTTAAATTAAATCTTAAAAAATGCCACATCATATATGTCATGGTATTGATAATTAAAAACAAAAAAACCACCTCATATGCCATATCAATATTGTGGCATGTCTTATGGTGCTTAATGGGCACCATAGAATTTCTGCACAAAAGAATCATACAATTGGGCATCATGGTGCGCTAATAGTGGCGTGACAATCGTAATGCAGTAGAATAATGGGTTAGATTATAACTGCAATGTAGTACAAGAATGGCCACAAGTGCAATACTAGTTATGACTATGGTTGATATAACTCGTTATAGCAACTCGATTATTATAGTAAGGCCTATTTCAGGATTGTGGAGGTAGAGCGGAGAGGTCATGGAGATCGAATTATGGTAGGATTGTAGACATGTAGCTCAAATTAGGGTCCAAGGATGACCTAACCATGTTCGAGCTAGGGTCTGAGTATGCTTTGACCATGCTCGGGCTGGAGAGGATCAAAGGTGTGTAGGTCGAGCTAAGGTCCAAGATTGACTCAATTGTTGCAAGGTATTATTTAACTTTCAAGGATCAGAACAAAGTGGGTTATTAAAGGAAGTTAATTTGGAAAAGGATCTCTAGGATGAGAAGGAAAGAGAAGCTTCTACATGGGTTAGGAAGATCTTCTCCGATATTTGGCAGAATTCTTAAGATCTGGGAAAACTTGAGGAATAGGTAAATCTATGTCTCCTTTCAGGTATGAAAATCTTTCTAAATATTTATGATGACAACACACATAAGGGCATTTGCATTCATATTCATTCATTTAAACATCCATTACACAATTTTTCCTCAACATCATGTTCACATCGTCATTCCAATAAACATCTATTCATTTAAACACACATCCATGCCGTTTAATTTATTTAAATATAAAATATATTGCATGTGGGACCCACAAATTTCTTAATCAAATGCCATTCGATAGAATGAATGGTTGAAGAGGGGCCCACATCAAATGAATGCATTGTATCCGATCTAATGTTCCTCTCCCATTTAAATGCGCCAAATAAATGACCATTGCAGATGTCCTAAGAATTAACTTGAACATCGAAGTGTGTGTGCCCAGGGCTTTAGAGGTCATTTACATGGCGATTGATGTTTAGATCAGTGTTTTGAGACCCGGACCGGCCCGGCGGGTCGACTCGGGACCCGGTCGATCCGGAGCCGGAACCGATCCGGGTGGAGTATTTCGACCAGGCAACCAAGGACCCGGTCAAACCCGGTCAAAACCCGGCCGACCCGGCAGAGACCCGGCCGACCATGTATATATGTTTATATGGTAAATATTTATCATGAGATACATATTATTAACACTTTAATATACAAATTTTATACACAAAACATTTAATTTTGTTACTTTTATGTATATTTATATAACAAAAATACTCTATATATAATTTTAAAAATTTTAAAATTAATTATCCGGTTCAGCAATTGACCCGGTGACCCGACAGTTGAACCGGTGACCCGGTGACCCGAGGACCTGCCCGGGTCGATCACCGGGCTGGGTAAACTATGGTTTAGATAGATGAAGTCTAGGATTTTTTTTCTTTAAATAAAAGTTCAAGAAAATAAGTGGACAAAAACAAAAAGAAAAATTAAAATGTGGACCAAAATCAAAAGGTCGTATTTTGTAAAACGTATTCTCGGAATACGTTTTATAAATAAAACTAATTTTATAATTTAGATTTAATTGTAAAACGTATTTCCGTAATACGTTTTACAATTAATTAATTTTAAAACGTATTTCGAAAATACGTTTTACAAATTAAATTAAATTTATAATTTATATTTATTTGTAAAACGTATTACGGTAATACGTTTAAAAAAAATTAGTTATTTATATTTAATTTTATTCATTTTTTGCTATATATTAGCTTATTTAATGAGGCGATTTTGGGTGTTTCGTTAGGCCTCGATAAGCGAGTAGAGCATTAACGAAAAGTGCTTTCGATAAAACACGAGAAGAGGAGAAACCGTTTATGGCGTCGATTTATTATTTCGAGGTCCCGATCATTTATTTAAAGAAGCTCGAGTTCGAGGGTGCATATTAGTAAAATAAATGAAAAAACCGATTACGTGAGTCCCGCAAGGTCGCGTGTGACTTCGGTTTACCGAGAATCGAGTTGGGGCGTGTAGATAATTTAGGCACGATGTAATGCGGGGCATTTATCGAGTATTTCGGAGTTTCGAGCATTTAATTAGAGAAACTTGAATTCCCATCGGAATAGTAACAAAATAAGCGAGAAGAGGAGACTTCGGGTGTTCTGTCAGGCCTCGATAAGCGAGTCGAGCATTAACGAAAAGTGCTTTCGTGAAAGCAGGAGAAGAGGAGAAGCCGTTTATGGCATCGATTTATTATTTCGAGGTCCCGATCATTTATTTAGAGAAGCTCGAGTTTGAGGGTGCATATTAGTAAAATAAATGAAAAAGCCGTTTACGTGGGTCCCGCAAGGTCACGTGTGACTTCGGTTTACCTTGAATCGAGTTGGGGCGTGTAGATAATTCAGGCACGATGTCATGCGGGCATTTATCGAGTATTTCGGAGTTCCGAGTATTTAATTAGAGAAACTTGAATTCCCGTGGGAATAGTAGAAAAATAAGCGAGAAGAGGAGACTTCGGGTGTTCCGTCGGGCCTCGATAAGCGATTCGAGCATTAACAAAAAGTGCTTTCGAGAAAGCACGAGAAGAGGAGAAGCCGTTTATGGCGTCGATTTATTATTTCGAGGTCCCGATCATTTATTTAGAGAAGCTCGAGTTCGAGGGTGCATATTAGTAAAATAAATAAAAAAACCGTTTACGTGGGTCCCGCAAGGTCACGTGTGACTTCGGTTTACCGAGAATCGAATTGGGGCATTTATCGAGTATTTCGGAGTTCCGAGCATTTAATTAGAGAAACTTGAATTCCCGTGGGAATAGTAGCAAAATAAGCGAGAAGAGGAGATTTTGGGTATTCCGTCGGTCAAGAGATTTCAAGAATAATTTGGTCATGCAAGCATCAATGAATAGAGGGGATCGTTAGCTACGTATAGGAAAAAACGAAACTCAATTCCGAGTTCAGACGATCCCAAACGAGCTCGAAACACAAAATACATACTAAATATTACATTAATTTTAAAATATAAAACGTATTATAAAAATACGTTTTATTTATAATTTTTTTTTTAAAAAAACATATTATAATAATACGTTTTATAATATTTTTAATTTTTTTTTAAAATAAAATTAATTATAACATGTATTCTAAGAATACATTTTTTAAATAAAATCTAATGATTAAAACGTATTCTGAGAATACGTGTATTTGATTTTGTACTACTAATTTTTTATTTTTTATTTTTTTTTGTTTTATTTGTGTTCACTTATTTTTTTTATTTTTTAAAAAATAAATTACCCTGAAGTCTAGAGCACATCAGCCGTAAAACNTTTTAAATTTGGCAGTGAAAATAGCGGTTTACATAAATACGTGACGAAACGCCCAATTCACCCTCACTATGTTGACACATTGGATCAAACCCGCGAAAAAGGTTTGAATACAAAACCCCCAACAAAACCTAACCGACTTCAAATTCTGGTTTCATAGGCTGCAACTGTATATAAGAGCTCCGAATTTTCTTTTTTACCTCACATACCCATCATGAAATTCCTGTCGGCCTCTGTTCTGTTTTGACACAAATTTCAAAGAAAAAAAAAACAAAACCTCCACCTCCGCCTCGATGTCTTCCTCCGGCCAAGGCGGCCGCCTCAGAAGATAACACGACACCGCTTCTCACAATACCCACACGGCCCACGTAACCCCTCCATCCCCATCAATTTCCCGCAAAAACAACCAGAGCCGCGCCCTATTTCGCAGGGATTCGAGGTGGGCCCCAAAAAATCGCGGTGGGGGGAAATCTCGCCTCGCGGGCAGGTCTAGGAAAAAAGAAGAAGGTGAGAATGTGGCGTGCTCTAGCTCAAGTTTGAATCTTGATTCGGGTTCTTGCTATGTGAATGGAGAAGAGTCGGGTTCTGTTGGTGGGTCGGGTTTGGGTATGAATGTTGGTCCGGATAATGGCGAAACTGAGGGCTGCGAAGCAACTGAAGAATTGGGTTCGGGTAATGAAGATGATGCTCTCAGTAGATTAAAAGAGCTGAGCTTTAGTGTGGAGCCCGAGTTGGAGGAGTTGCTGGCCGTCAATAGACTGTTGCAGGAGGATGAGGTGTATTAGTGAATAATAATAGTAGTGCTTCTAGGAAAAAAAAAAAGGCAGTTTTGATTCTCTTTTTATCGTTTATCCTTTCTAATTGTTTGGTGCTGTCCGGTTATACTCTATGATCTGTTCCTTTTTCGTGTTCGCTATTACTTGGTCGTATTTTGGTTGCCTGTCAAATTTCCATGTGGGTTCAGCTCTATTCAGATGTTGTTTGATGGTGGGTTGTTTGCTGTTCGTCGGAATCAAAACTTGTGATCATGATGATGGATTGAAATTTTATTTCTAAGTGACTTCTAGGTCCAAATAAATCTAAGCACTAGTATTTGTAGCTTGTTTTGCCTTGGCATGTGTCCCATGCTAAGAACTAAGCCACATGGAGTAGTCTTTCAGTTGAGATCACAGTTCTTGATCTGCTGGTGGACATTACCCTTAAGTATGTCCAGTGCAAGTTCCCTTATGGCATATACTTTTGTATATAAGAATTAAGAAGGTTAGGGAAGAATATGGCAAGAGGAACTGGTCTGGAAGTGTTTTGATAACTATTGTATTCAAATTTGCAAAACGTAAACAAGATAGTTATGGAATCTATTTATGGAGAATATGGTTCAGAAAAAGAATTATAGTTTTGCTTCTCTGTTTTAAGTTGTTCTCAAATTTGCCGCAAGATTAGATCAGAACACAGTCAATCTGTTTTCTCCCTTTTGCCTCTTAACCGTGTCTCCCGTTTTATTGCAGCTTTTAGCTATGGAATCTATTTATGGAGAAAAAATTCTCATTCTAGAAAACGAAAGTGGCTTGAAGTGTTTCCAGGTAGTTAATAAGCATTCCAGAGCTTACTTCTCCTTCTCCAGGAACAAACTTTTAACTTACTGATTACATTATAAACAGGTTCATATTCAAGTTCAAGTGCCCCAAGAACTCAGCATCACCACAAAGTTTGAGTCTTTCGGTTTTTCCGAAAAGACGAATGAAGATGAATCTGATATCTCATACTCATTTCAAGTGGAATATCTCCCACCAATCTTATTGAGTTGTTTATTACCTAAGTCATACCCAAGCAAATCTGCCCCTCACTTCACAATACATGTCCAGTGGCTAAGACATAGTAACATCTCTCGTCTTTGCAGCATGCTCGATTTGATTTGGGCCGAAAATCCCGGGCAAGAAGTGACATACCAATGGGTCGAGTGGTTGCGTAATTGTACTCTCTCATATCTTGGTTTTGATAGTGAGTTACTTCTTGGACCTTATGGTGTAAGTCATGATAGTAATTGTGGAAAAGAAGAGCGGAGGGCAATTTCGGGAAGTTTTTCGTCTGATACTGATATTCCTACTATTAAGAGATACAATGATGAACAGAAGTACGAGAGTTTTTGCAGAGATATTCAAGAATGCAGCATTTGTCTCAGCGAATTTGCTGGTAAGAATCTAGTCATTTTTTTCATTGATTAGAAATTATTTTGAGAATTATATTAGTAAGAGTTTTGAGTACTTCGATTCCTACTATCAATCATGATACACACCTCAAAATCCGATCTTTTGCTTATATATGATGTTTAATTCACCCATCTTGCTGTTAATTAGGTTCGGAGTTCATTATGCTGCCATGTCAGCATTTCTTTTGCGAGAAATGCTTGAAGGCTTTTACCAACATTCATGTAAAAGATGGAACAGTATTCAAGATAAAATGCCCGGAAGCTAAATGTGATGGCACATTGCATCCCAGTTTGATTAAAAGGCTATTGGGCGAAAAGGAATTTGATCGATGGGAATCTTTGGTATTACGAAAAGCACTGGATTCCATGAAAGATGACGTGTACTGCCCACGATGTGAAATGGCCTGTGTGAAGGATAAGGATGAGCATGCATTATGCTCAAAGTGTTATTACAGCTTCTGTACACTCTGCATGGATAAACGACATGTTGGTGAAGCTTGCACGACACCTGAATTGAAGTTAAAGATGCTCGAGGTAAATATTCCGATCTTCGTTTTGGTATTTTATTTCATATTTTGTAATAGTTTTCCTCTTTGTTTTATTTTCAGGGTCCATGTTTCATTCTGTTATGGATCATCTTTTAGGTTATTACTCATTTTAGTTTCTTCTTGTT